TAGAATGAACTACAAAGGGTTGCCACTCTAGGTAGCCTCCCCCTCACTCCACCCCTCCTCCCCCCTTAAAAAAAAGAGAGATTTAATCAATCCTCCTAAGGAACTTAGATGAATTCTGTTATTGATTTTCAATAACCCTCAAATCTTTTTTTTGACAGTTAATTCACAGTAAAGTAGTGGACACTTCTATCGAATTTCCCCACCGACTGGGCCCTCCATACAAGAGAGCACTGCGCAATCTCATGGCAGATTACCTTCAGAAAATTATTCAGGATAGTGGTGAGCTGTGAAAAATATTTAGCGTTAGCAAAGGAGTTATTTTTAAAGACAAACGTAAGCTTGGTGAAAAAGAGATATGTCTCTTAAGCATCTTATTTTAACTTGCAAACAATAGTGACTAACTTTGAAAACGGTCAAGCTGAACAGTTTCAAAAGCCCCGAAGCAATCCGTTATAATCTTGAAAAAATTACAGCCTCGTGGAATGTCTCCTAAGCATTCTACTTAAAGTTGCTAACAACAGCGATGAACCTTGCAAAGTTTATGGCTACGAAAAAGGCAAGTTTCCGAACTCCGACGATTGGAATCGTTTTTAAGACGGAATCCATCGGGAAAATGAGTAATTTTAATTTTTAGTGGACAAAAACCTTCGACCAGAATAATTTAAAGCATATTGCATTCTTTTTTACATTTTTTAATGGCTAAAAATGTAGTTAATCATCTGGGCCGAGTTGTTCAAAGCTGGGTTAAGATAACCCAGGGTTAGTGCGAGATTTGAATTCAGATTTGAAAGCTTAAAAAGCATTTCAGCTTTAATTCTTTTTGTCTACAAGTTGATGATTGGAAGCTCTAAAAATAGCACCGAAAATTATACGAAAAAAGGGGTTTAGATCACACGAAAAAGAAACCCGGGTTAATTTTAACCCCGGGTGAAGCGCTAATCGGCTTTCGAACAACTCGGCCCTGTAATAACACCAAAGAAAATTTCTTATGGGAACCGGAGAAGATAAATGTCAAATTTCATAAAATGACATCTTACACATGAAATTTTCCGAATTTTACCCGTGTTTTCACAATTCTTGTGAAATTTGACATTTATTTTCTCGGACTCCCATGAGAAATTTTCTTTGGTGTTATTACAAATAACTTATTACATCTTTAGCCCTTGAAATATTTTTTTAAAGATAAATTAGAATAAATGTAATCCTAAAAATATGACATAATTTAAAGTAAAGATGCCCAAAATTCCCCAAGGACACGACGTTTAAGAAGATCAGTGTTCATACAGTTCCCGGTGTCCCCGTTTAATTGATTCCTAATGGTAATGCGTGAGAAAAATAATCTCTGCGCAGTCGATGTTCTCCAAAATGTAGTTTCAAAGTGATCCTTCTGTTTGCCATTGTGAATGTGTTTTATGTAGCAATTCCATCAGTATCTATAAAATAAACAGAATATTACATGGCCGCTGGGGGATACGAATTTTATCTTCTCGTGCTAAAAGTCTCTCTCACTCGTTCGCTTCGATCACTCTTGAGAGGTACTTTCAACACTCGAAGATAAAATTCGTATCCCCGCGCGGCTATGTAAGATCAAAGCCGCCTCGCGCTACGCGCTCGGCCGGTTTAGCAGATCTCCTAACCCTACAAGCCAATTGGTTCGATACCCTAACCGTGAAACAATGGGAAATCAGCGTTTTCCCTCATTGCGCGGCTAAACTTTTAGCATCTGACACTATTAATTCTATTAATTCAAAGCAAACGTATTTATCCCAGAGACAATATTTGATAGATAATGACTATGGGAGATAAGTAGATCATATCAGGGGCTATTGAAATCCAAAAAGAAAACTGTGGGTAACCACGCATTTTTCAGAGCTAACTGCGCTTCAATATGAAAAAAACGGTGAATAAGCATTTGTAAGAAAAATGATAAAAAGTTATTTCCCCCCAAATTTCCGAGTGTACACGTGAACTGGCACAAATGCAATGATAATTGTAACAAGGTTTCGAAATCAGCAACAAATTATAACAACAACTGCTCTTTTTTTTGAAATATCAGCACAACTGGGAAGTTATTAGCAGTTACCCCTATCCACGTGTTTGCCTTAAAAATAGTGTAAACCACATTTTCTCCGAACCAAAAATTGATCGTTTGCTGAGTAGACTCATTACTTTCATTTGGTACGATAAAAAGTAGGGTTTACCACGCGTTTTTAGAAGTTAAATTGATTGGTTTCGACCTTATCTCAATCGCTTTGGGGGTTATTTACAATTTTCCACATCCCCTCTCCGGTCAGTTTCACTATTGCTTCACTCAACGCGGAGTAGAGAGAACAACAACCCACGGAAGACAGCAAAAACAGAAAGTGAAGCAGGACATTTCATGGACTCTAAGGAAAATAAATTATACTATTTCATTCAACTGGAGCTTCTACGTCTCAAAAATTTAACAAAAGTTTTTGGAGAAGAGCAATCTCCGAGGCATTAAAGATTACTTCCAGCACACATAGAGTAATATGGCGAGCTAAATAAAGATCCAAGGCTGGTGCTGTAAACAAACTACTGTACTGTAGTGGAAAATAGTCGACAGGGACTCTTAGACAGGTACTCCTTCAATCGTTTGTTTACCTGTACATGTCCTCAAGATTTTTTGAACTGTAGATGTAATATGGATTGTAAACCTTCTATCGTTTTTTATCATTTTACCGGGTATGTCGATCGAATATGTTATTAAACTTGTATACATTCAATTAGTTTATATCTGTGCTTTGCGCTATCTCTTTCGGGCTTTGCCATAATTGTCATATGACATAAATGATTTGCATAGACTCAAGTTTCATACACGAGCTCTCTTTTAAAAAAGCTGAATACTGCGGAAATAGTTGTACCGAATGGGTTTATGTACCCTCATGTATAAACTGGGCTATAATGATCAATTTATATATTTCGTTTTGATTTTTTTTACTGTAGCATTCTGTGTCATGGTCATTCACTATTTTTCGTTCCTAAATATTAATTTTAGACTTAACAGTGGCTGTTAAACCTAAGAAAGTCTTAGTCAGAATGGAAATACTTTATTTTACCTTCTATCTTTTTAGTTTGTAAACAGCCAAATGGCAGCGATGTCTAAATGTCCAGATTATGTGTGGCGTGAAATTGAACCTCAAGAAATACTATCTACACGACAAGCTGCCCAATGAGTCAATAATTTCAATGCTTAGTAATGGCAAAATGCTTAAATAACAATGATTATAGTAAAAAGCATAACAATTTTTTACGATTTTTTTTCCACAATGAAAGCGTTTCCTTTGCGGTCCGCAACTATTTGTGAAGCTGCGATCTCAGCAATCCAAGCAGTCTTGTGATAGTTTTTTTTCTTGTTTATTCAACAAATAAAAGCCTCGGACTCTCAACAAAAGGGACATCTGTATGTACTCGAACGCTTTAAATCTATCTTCTGGTGAATAATTACATAAAATCTTAGAAAAATAAAGAAATATTCAGGAAAGTGTTTAGAGCCGATTAGCCCGGCGACAAAACGCGAAGTACGCGAGTGAAAGGTAAGCTTGCAGTTTCTCGATTAAGAGGAGGACTTAGAGCTATTTTCCTTTTGATTTACTGATCCTTGCCTATTAAGGGATTTTTTAATACCCAAGCTCCAAGCGTAACATCTCGAAGCAATAACTTTTGATGTTTTAGAATTGAGTTTTGTTTGACCATAAAATGTTTGGTCAGATCGATCATACGGCAGAAATAGCAACATGCGCATACTTCTTCGGTTTTCAAAGAACTGACAAGGTAAATAGAAATTATTTTTCATCTGTTGAAAAACGACGCATCTTTTCCACAAGAAATAGCTAGAACCTTCCAGACTAACAGGAGACAAAGCCAGTCCGCGTGTCCTGCGTGTTGCGTATTTTTTTCGCGTCGCGTGCGACTACCTTGGCATTTGCAGAAAATGTGCGCAGTAACAATAATGGGCACCGTCCTTAAAGTGGAAGTTAAAATTATTGCCTAAGGCTATTTAATCTTCCCCATTTAAAACTGGCGTGGACGTCGCCTTTAGAGACAGTTGTCGTTTACAAGATTTTTTAGTTGCTTATACTATACTGATGCAGCGAAGACTACAACCAGCAATTTCCGTGGGGTCGTAACCGCTTCCTCGGCGATTCCTGAAAGCCTACTCTGGCCAGATTTTTCCACCTAGAAATCTTCTGACTCTGACGAAAGTAATTTCAAGTTCACACGTCATGTTGCTCGATGGGCACTTACAAATTTTAGCTAAGTGTATAGTTACGTATAAAGGCGGATGTCAGCAGCTGTTGGAGCAACTAGGAAGATTGGTGAAGGTTGAGCCAAAGAAAAACTGTTTCCTTTGTTGCCCCATGCAAGCGAATGGGTCAAAGCTATTGAAATGAAATCACTTTTATCCACTGCAAAACAATTCAGTAAATTAGATATAATTATTTAAATACACAAGCAGGGTCTTTTTCAACTCGGTAACTTCCCGATGCAGGTTTGTTGACAGCCTTCAGAAGCTGTTGTGACGTCATTGTCACGTGATATTCATTCCGATCGCCGAAAAAATAATATGATAGTAAAATCTAGTCTATGTGTAATACATGTGTTACAATGATGGAAGGTGTGCCCACAAAAATACTGGGTCAAGCTACCTTAAGACACTCAACCTTTATCCATTATCCATTATCTATTAGTATTATTAATTATTATTTTTATTATTACTATTATTATTTTCATAGATGGATTATATTTTCCACGATTAGTTAATTGTTTTTTGTTATTTTATTATTTGACATACAGGGCACGCACGTTTGAGTTCGTCACTTTACAACATCAGTGTATTTGTAGGGTGTTAAAATTACCTGCCTTAAGTTATATAATTACAAACCTTCCTATTTAAATATAGGCCGCAGTATTGAGCAGCTGTTCTGCAAAGAAGCCAAACCTTACTAGAAGAAGCAAGCGAGTTGAGACTAGTAAAGATGAACACAACAGCGAATGGATCGAACCTTTCGGTATGTAGCAGTCTGATAAACGCATCGGCGTCGAAAATTGGGCAAACCATTGGTTCTAGTCTGATCCTTGGCTTTTCCCTTTTCGGAAATTCGATCATCGGATTAACTGTTTATAAAACGCCAACCTTGAGGAAACCCATAAATTATTTGATCGCAAACATGGCCATATCAGACATGCTGATGCCATTTTTCACGATTCCTCTGCATCTTGCAGAGATCCATTCTGGCGGCTGGCCTACTGGTGGTCTTCTTGGCCATGCCCTGTGCAAACTTGTTATCTACTTAACCCACGTCTCCTTCGGTGTGTCGAGTCAAAGCCTAGTTCTGATAGCACTTGATCGCTATGTCGCCGTGGTTTTCCCACTTCGTTCTCCATTCATTAATCGCAAATTGTTTCCCTTCTTCATTCTCGCTACTTGGGTTGTTGCCTTGGCTTTTTTTGCGCCATATATGATCGTCGCAAAAGTTGATGAAGGCACGCAGGGGACTTCTTGTTACTTTGATTGGCATGGAACCTTCGAAGAATCCTGGCCCATTGAGAATCACTACATAGTAGTGTTCACAGCGTTTAGTTTTATCCCCGCAGTCCTTTTGGTCATTCTGTACTCCATCATCCTCATCAAGCTCAAACTACAGGCGCCTCCAGGTGAGCAGTTGACCAACGCCACAAAACAGCGCGAAAGGAAAAACAGAAATGTGTTAAGAATGGCCATTGCTATTGTGCTAGCATTTTTCTTTTGCTCTATACCTATCACCACTACACGTTTAATCACGGTACGTCAACCGGTGGATAGTTCCATTTGGTTCAGTTGCGGTTTCTGGTTATTTAATGACCTCGCACGCCTCATTTTCAACACAAACTGTGCTATAAACCCTCTGATTTGCCTCATTTTTAGCAATAACTATCGTCAAGGTCTCAAGAGGCTTCTGAAATGCTAAGACAACAATAGTTCAAAGGCAACATAATAAATATAATTTTTTCTTGATGGATCTAAAAGCCTTCGTAAAAGGCAACTATAACATTTAGAACTTAGGCCTGGTTCTGACGCCGTACTTTTCATGTGCCGAACCTAACTGAATAAGTTCGACACTGGCGCGACATCTGATTCAGACGGCGTACCGTGTGTCGAACCTAAGTTAAATTCGACAAAAGTTCGACAGACTCTGTCTTCTGACTCTTTGACGAAATAATTTAATTCAAGTTCACACGTCGTGTTGCTTGTTGTGCGTGATCGGCAGTGAAATGAATAACCCGCCAAGTTATAAATATTACTTGACGCCATCATGGGAAGAGGGTCATGTTTGGGGGATTCGCTCTCTTAAATTATTTTCTCCTCGGCTAATGTCATGGAAAAGTTTATTTAATGGCACTATCTTAACGACTTCTACGGCACGTACAAAGTGTAGCTAAGTGTATAATTACGTATAAAGGCGGATGTTAGCAGCTGTTGCAACTAGAAAGATTGGTGAAGCCGGGTTGAACCTAAGAAACCTTTTTCTTTGTTACCCCAAGGGAATGGCCGGATCAAAGCTAAGTGAAATAACTTTCATCTACTGCAAAACGTTTCAGTGTGTAGATGACTTTCTTCGCCATTTAAAACTTACCGACTTCTTTTAAAAAACTTTTTCAAAAGCATCGGAGACCAAATGGATTGCGCTTATCTTTTCTATTAACACAACAGCGGACTGTTAATTTCAGCACCTCTTCAGCAATCAACGCTCTGCCACAAAAATTGGATATTGTATATTCGTAAAAAAGGTTGAGGTGTCTATTTCTATTTCCTATGCAAAATTCAAGATGGGAAACTGACCGTATCTTTTTTTAGTGCCCAAACTAAGATGCTCTACACGGCATATAACAACAAACAAGCTAATACCAACTGGGGTAAAAAGGTTATTTGAAGGCATTATCTTAGCGATTTACACAGCAGACATATGCATTTGCTAAATCTAAACATGTTAAGGAAATTTTTGAAAAAAAAAGGCTGATTTGTTAAGGATCTACTGACTGTTGTTTTCTATATTAGTCTATCCGGAGATAAATGGAAGCAAACCAGACGAAATCCCATTTACTGAGAAAGGTGACTTCGATAACTTACTGTAATAAGTGTCTGAGAAAAAAAGGCGCTGCCTTTCGAAGACTGTCATGCAGTAGTTAAATCTTCCTGTTTTCGTTATTACTCAGGAATACTTGGTAACTAGTAAATGGAGGCGTTAAACGAACTCATTAAGGGCACGAATGCACCACTAACACCAATAGTATTAAACTGAATGTCTTAAATAAAAAAATAATTAACAACTAATGATCTCTTAAGACGAGGCGATGTTTTATGCGAGACTGACAAATAACATTGAATTTAATTATGATACTATCTGGTAAGAAAGTTTGCTCGTGACATCAAACACCATAAGTACCACTAAGAAGCGGTCTGCTAATTTTTACCTCACGCTTTGGCTGATAACATTTTCATAATTATGTAGATAAACGAGAGGAACTTTATCTGACTTGTTATTAAATTACGAACTATTAATATCCGTTTCATTATTATTTTTCATTTTTGTATGAATCATATTAAATAATTTTTCTGTTTTTTTGTTTGTGTGTTTTTAAACACAGTTAAAAGAGTATAAAGACAAAAACAGTATAAAGAGGCCAGTTGTTCGCAGTTTGTGACTATATCTTACGCAAGGAATATCTTACCAAGGAAAAAATATAAACTGTATTTATGCACCGTGCCGGGGTACTGAAAAGTTGTTCTGGAAAGGAACTAAACCTTAAGAGACGAGTGGCAGTCGCGTAGAGAAGATCAGAAGCTGAGTAAACATGAACGTAACTGCGACTATAATGGAGGTCAAAAGTGTTGGGACCTTTCCAGTGATATTACTAAAACTAGCGACCCCTCCCCTCCCACCACAAACAAAGTTGAATTTGGAGCAAAATGGGTGAGAATGAGTGCTTTTTTGGCCACAACATTGCTAGGGAGAGTGGGGGAACGACGGGATGAACCCAAAGCCGAACAGAAAATTTGACCTTAGGAGTAGGGTTCTACGTAACAATTGCTTGGAAGGGCTTTTTCACACAGTCCCAAGTTCTTTTGTCCTCCATAGTAGATCATTCATCCACAGCTCCGGTTTACATGAACTGTTTACAAAATGCCAACTTTGAGGAAACCCATAAATTATTTGATTACAAACATGGCCATGTTCCATTTTTCCTCACTCTTCCGCTTCCAGCAGAGTTGCATGCTGGCTCTTGGCCCATTCATGGCTCTCTTGGCCTGGTCTTGTGCGAGCTTTGTTTTACTTACCACACGTTTCCTTAATTGCGCCTACGGTTTTTCAAGGAAGGTCACCTTTTCATTGATTAATAGCAGCAATAAACAGCTACTTCAATTAATTAATGTTGTCGGATTTTAAGGCGGTGTTTACACCACATATACCGGATAGTCTTTCATGTCGACATGGAAAGGCTACCGGTGCGTCATGAACACCTGTTTGTACTGCGCAAACTTGAAGTTACACCGAAATCTATCCAAATTGTGACGATCCACTTCAAGATCGACGCGGTGAAGCTTCGCTTTAATTTGTTACAGACGTCGCGTTGTACCAAAATTGTCGTTCTTATGTGTGAACAAAAGCCCCGGGGGAGGGGGGTGGGATACTCCCTTATAAGGGCTTAATGGGGACGTGCGGCCAGTCAGGGTATGTTTTTCGGGATTTTTGTCTTAAACAGGGTATCGAATTTATCATTTTTTGTCTTAATCAGGGTATCGATGTATCAATTCTTGTCTTAAACAGGGTATCAAAAATCGAAATTCTGTCTTAAACAGGGTAGGAAAATCAGCGATATTTGTCTTAAACAGGGTCAGGGTATAAGGGGCCGCGCCGTACCTCTCCACGTAGGGATATATCGAGTCATTTTGACTTTGCAATTTGATGACGTCACAGTGAAAACCATCTATAGTGTAGACATACAAGGCAAGAACAGATAGCGAAGGTCATATAGCTGGGGTAGCTGTAAATCTTTTGTTATTTAGTTTAACCGTTCAACTGTTACGTTGTCAGTCTCTCAGAATTGTCTAAACCCTCACAAACCTTTGCCTTTGTGATTTTACAACAGAGTAGTTTCTTCATAGTTGAGTTCGGGAAATTTTTATGGAATTACCCGGCGATGCGATCTTACCGCGGAAGCTTTCCGTCAAAGTTATTTGAAATGGCTGTAAATAGTAATAATGGAAAAATATATTAGCGACAATGGGTCGTCAAAAATAGGAAGTTAAAAGCTTTGAAGCAGGTGATATTCCAAGGTCGTGAATTAACGATAATAAGATCTAAAATTTTTACTTGCTTGCATCTAAATCTACGACGCAATCGACAAGGTAAGAATGAAAGACAAAAGAGGATCTTACGAGATATACTTTTTTATTTTCAAAATTATCTCAGAGACACGGGAATAGATTTTGAGTTCATTTTTTCACCGGCACATACACAAACCTTCGAGAACAAAATACCAGGGCGAAATGACTTCATATTGATAACAAGACAGCGGGGGGTATTTCTTCATTGTAGGCAATTTTCGTAATCAAGGGTGCATGCGCAATACGATCCAGGGAATGTAAGAACGTCTCGCGATGAACTGATCGTTCGCAAATTTCACGCTGTTTAAACTTTTGTGGAGGGAACACAGATGGTGGAATTCTCTTAGAATGAAGCGTTCGTTGTTTTAATTGGCTTCAAGTAAGCAACTTATTAAGTTAAACGAGCAGTTTTGTAATTAGCATCTTGCACAAAACAATTTCTAATCATAACATGTTTTCCAAGGTGAAAAAGACTCTTGTAGTGGAAAAAAAGTGGGTGCCGTAATAATCTAAACTTACTAATCTCGTACGCAACACAAGGATAAAACCAAAAACCTACGAGAAATTGTGAAATATAGTTTATTTTTTTTAAAATTACCTTAACAAGACAATCAGTTCTTTGAGCTCGCTTTTTTTGGTAAATAAACTTCCCTCTCGCCCATCCCTTAACAGTTTAAATTATCTTTATGGCATTGATGGCAAAATTTATACTTAATGCAAATTAGCAGACGAAGACGGTATTTTTTTATTTGATGGCAATTTTTCGCTCGAAACGACAACGGTACAATAAAAGGAACAACAACACAAATCTTTATTTTTCTTGATTCCTCTTTTTCACTGAAGTGCATGGGCCCGCAGATAGCTTGTTCTTTTCTTGGCTGGACACCTGTAGAGAATTCTGTTGTGTACAAATACATAGGTCTACATAGACACGAACTGCAAAGAACTGCAAACGAATATGCCGAAGAACGTGGGATCTAAAGAGACCTGATCAGCCAAAATATAGCTGTCTAGCTCACGGCTACAAACCTGCTCTGTTTTGGGTTCTTTTGGTGTCGTGTTTGATGTACTTCAAAAGTTAATTTTCATGTGTGGTACGATCAGACAATTCTATATAAGAGTGTTATGTTATATTATTATAGTATTAAATTATATGAGAGAGTATACAAAGGAGAAAACGAATTTACAGTATGATGCAATCCCATCTTGTTAGTGACAGTTTCTAAAAGTTTGTTTGACTCCATTGTCCTTAGATAGGGCTACTTACAAACAAAGGCTGACGCTCTAATCTTGTTAAGGTCGTAAAGCAATTGATAAAACAGTTCTTTTTGCTTTTTCCTTTCCCACCCCTCTTTCCTCCTTACCTATATAGCATCACACTTTCTTATAAAGTTTATACGGTTTTCATACAAAGCGCTTACCGGCGTGACGTCAGCGTGACGTCACGTCGGCCATATCAATAGGAAGCCTTTGTATCGACGACAGAAAAAGACGGCAGAGTTTTATCAACTTCTTGGTATTTAGACTGGAAATCAAATCTCAAATTTAGGTGAATTATGTGGGGTGGCAACCAAGTTTAAAATCAGGAGAAAAAGAACGTTCGTTGTCACTTGTTTACGTCCTCCATAAATGGTCGTATACAGGTATTTCACGTCGTAGTTTTGCATTGACAGCCAAGATATGTACCGTTTTGCTTACAAAATCTATTGCTTCTTTGACGCTCCAACTGAATGCCATCGCCGTCTTCGTTGCTATAAGCTACCTATTATGTTGGTATTCCAAGGCAATCCTATGAGAGTTGATTTTTTTCGTAAGAAAACATTTTCTTTTTATATTAATAAGGCAGGGTGACCACAACAGCGGTGTCAATAACCCATTTTCGAATTGCCAAGTCTCTTTATCAAAGCGAGGACTGTGGCACAAACCTTTCATACGAAAATGAGTTTTTAAAATTTGTGACTGAATAAAACTTATTTTCTAATGAAAATAATGATAAGCACCAGGACTCGCCTGATACTGTCATAATACATTTTCCCGGGAAATTGTCGCCGCCCTTTCACTCAGTTGGTCTTGCTGTGTCACTGGAATGCTTCCAGTGGTGTGGCCAGTGTCGTTGTCCTGTGGTTCACCCTGTCGCACGGACATAACAGCAACTCTTGTTGCAAAGGAACGTGAACGTATCATCTGCCACATCTTTTTCCTGAATCTTTGGTTCAGCAGAGCGTACGCAAATGGATTGATAGCGGAGTTGAACATCAGCATCGTGTGCGCGATAGGAATAGCTAAAGGACACAGTTTCACGGAGTCAGCAGCATGTTCGTCTAACAGATGAAGTATCACATCTGCTCCCCAAGATATTACAAGAATGGCGCTCACGGTTACAACCATCAATGTCACTCGCTTCCTCAACCTCAATACACCCTGTGTACAAAACGATTGATAAGCCACAGGTCACCCAAGCTTACAATATAGCTGTGAGACCTTGCAGCTCTCGGAAGATCTCACCCGATTGGTTGGGAAAACAGTGAATAAACAAAGTTAGTAATGTAAGCTGTGCCGAAAAAAAAAAGAGTTGCGACCCATAAGCATTAAATCAGAAGTAATCTGAAGACTGGAGTTTTAAGGCTACTTTACATAGCTGATCTTCATGAGCAGTAAACAGACAGAACCTAACTTCCCTTACTAGGCCAATTTGGCCAACCCAAACACCAATATGAGAACAAACCATTTTCAACTCACGCGTTAGTTAAGAAAAAACTGTATCTGAGATCCAAAGAATTTCATTGATAACTTAGGAATGTGTAGAAACCGGTACCCGTCAATTTTCCAAAAATCGAGCTGATGACTGAGTACGCGAAGGACGTAACGACTTGACGTCCGACCCTCAGCCAACTTAAACTCTGTATCAATTATCACCAGACGTTAAGAGGCGCGTCTCACTTTAGATCTTATTCGCTGGTCCCAGAACTATCCAGTCAAGCTCGCCATTGAGTAAAATAGGCCAGTTTTAGTAATTTATTCTTATTAGGTATTTTAGAGGGGTTATATTTTTCAATGGAGGGTATATGAAAGGGGTACCTTTTTGTCAAAGGGTAAAGAGTTGGACCTCGGAGCGGAACTTTCTCCATATAAAACTATTATGAGTAGTCCTCAAACGAATGATTTGTCCTGATAGGGGTTTTGGCCCCATGTAAGGGAATACAGATTCTGAAATCCAGGAAATTTTTTTGCTTCTGGAATTTGTTTACATGGGCTTTGGAGTCAATTCAGCTCAAGGAATACGGAATCCCACTACCGATTGGAATCCGGAATTCAGTACCTGGAATCCAGAATGCAGAATCCAAGACTCCCTTGTATAAAGCGAAGGGTCCTACCTGATTTGTGAGTAAGGCATTATCACTTTGCTTGAACCACAATGTGTACACAATTCTGGAGTAGATCAAGACCAGCAGGATCATGACGAGGCAATCGATTGAGAGATAAACCGTACGGTATTTTCTTATGCTTTCTTTGGACAACAAAAAAATGCAAGGGGTGGAACTATCCTCTTCAACAAAGCGGCTCCGCTTCATAAATAATGGAATTTTATCCATTAGTGAAAGGATCCAGATTCCAGGAATAATCACCTAAGGAGACATACAAGAATTGAGAAAGGTGAATCACAGACCAAGAAGCCGACTCTGTCGCTCGTCGCTCTCTCCTCCGCAGAGTCCTCTTTGTGCCGTAGGGAGGGGAGGCTGGGGTTAGGGAAAATGAAAGGACGAAAGGAAGCGGAAGCAAGGCCTCCCGCGTTTTCTCTCTTCCCATCGTCCCCTGCGCGCTTGCTACTTTTCGATTATTGCTATTTTTACCGGAATACTTAACGGGAGCCTCTTCGGGAGAGAGACCTGTCGTCGTGGAAGCTGATCTAAGTTCGTGCAGGGCTCAGTTGTACGAAAGCCGATTAGCACTTAACCCGGGGTTAAATTTAACCCGGGTTTCTTTTTCATGTGTTCAAACTCATTTTCTCGGATAATTTTCTCTGCTTTTTTTAGATCTTCCAATCATCAACTTGTAGAAAACTTGAAAGAATTAAAACTGAAATGCTTTTTAAGCTTTCAAATCTGAATTCAAATCTTGCACTAACTCTGGGTTACCTTAACCCGGCTTTGAACAACTCGGCCCAGGAGTATAATTTGCGGATAATGCCACATAGTATTTCAAAGTATCAAACCTTCAATCCCTGAAAAGTTAGCTTTCCTCTGTTTCCATAGGGATGTACTACGGCAAAGTATCGTTCAAACGCAATGACAAGCAGTGTAAACATTGACGCAAGTCCTCCAATCCACGCGAAACTTCCCCCGGTTATAACTGCACACAGAAATGTTCGAACAATCCCCGTTGGGTGGCCGACATTGTGGCTCAAGATTATCGTCGGCATTGTGAAGGTGGCGTAGCAGATATCCGCTGCTGCCAGGTTCACCAGTAGATAGTTGATGGGAATCCTGTGGAATAACATGTCCAGTCAGTTAGTGATATCCTCAAATGGATCCTTGAGCCATCTCGTAGATAACCGTTCTCAAATTACATACGGCTGACTACTACGGGAAAAAAAGGCGTGGGATCATAGTTTCTGGAGATCTGCCTAAAGCTACATCACTCAAAAGTTGTCCCTGTATTTTCGAAATGGCAGAAGATTCGCAAAAAAGGCTTGAAATTCAACCCATAGCTTTATATATTATTAACTGAGTTGCCTGTGTCCAGTTTACAAAATCGGTCGATTTCTCCGTCAAAAAATGAAAGCTGTCAATGATTAACCCAGTAACCCAGAATCGAAGTTATACGTGATCCATATTTAGCATGTTTGTCCATCTTCGCAGAGTCTGTTTAAAGGTGGATTTCTTTCTCCGAAAGGCCTCTTTAGAAGTCTAAATTTCAGATTAGGATTATAAAGAAGACTCGTCCGACGAAAAACAGGAACTTTACGAATTTCGCACACAAGTTCATCTCATAACCTCATTGGCGAGAGGGCAAATAAGCGCCAACGCTTCGGTAACCCAAAGCTTCACCGGGAGCTTCAAATATATGAAAAACTTGAGAGAAATAGAGTAATAAGGGAAGTAAATTACGGTACAAGGTTTCCTGAGTTAGCATCTTAGCTTACAGTTGTCATGAGTTGTTCCCCAAAGGGGCCCAGAGTTTTTGCTTTTGTTTGTATCTGTATCATTAAATTTGTGCCTGATCGAGTGTTATGCTTCTCCTAATATCGGTGTCTCCGCTAATTCATCAAGCACGATTGATATTCGATAAGCGAGTTTCGATAAATTTTTAAATTCCACAGCTCGCTTTAACATGTATACCTTTTTATGTAAACAACCTGCATTTGACTTAACGAAAAATGTGATGGGGGCATAAGGAAACCACACTTTTAATTAGTAAACTGCAAATGGATGAGAGATAAAAACTTATCTGTTCTGTTCTTGCATTAGTCTGCTACACAGCAGTTTTTAGTGTCGCACGCAACGCTCCTCCCCAGCATTGCGTGACGACCGTGATAACGGCTATGTAGCAGACTATTCCGCATCTGTTGCAGAGCAAAGTGAAATGGAAGTGTTCTACTACGCAAAAACGAGGTGGGCTGGGGGCCTCCTCCCCGTTCTTAGACCAAAGTTAGGCCGTAGGGACAAGAAAAAGCATTTTCGAGGCCGACCCCGCCCTCCCCTCTTACTTTTACTAACTTAAAAAGATCAAGGGGAGTGCTCAGGTTTTTTATTCGTATCGAACGGTATCCCGACACAGATCAAGTAAAAGGAAAGGGGGCAGCAATGCGCATGCCCAGCAGTGAAATTATCAATTTGAAGAAGTATTTAGATTAACAAGCGCCTTACCTCATTTCGCGATTTTTCATCACTACAACACAAACGAAAAAGTTTCCCACGATGCAGGTGATAATTAATACGACATTTGATGTTGTTATGGCAACATCAGCTGTATCAGACAGGACTGAAGGGTTTGGCTGCTATTCACGTGACCTAGATGAAAACAAATCAATTTAAAATTTATTGCTCCATGTATGGCATCACTGTTTTGAAAGGCAGATTAGCGATAATCCGGGATTAAAATTTTGTTTTTTTTTTGTAATTTACAATCTTCCTTTGCTTAGAGTAACATTTTGTGTTATCATTACCGTATCTCGGAGTAAAGGCTCAACAGTATTTTGTAAGCTCGAGTTGCATGTTGTTAGACAAGAAAACCTTGTTTAAAATGATGTTTAATCCTGGGTTAAACGTGACAAGATAACAGGAACATATGCGATTACAGCAGGAACTTAGGAGCTGATACACCTACACAACCTAAAACAACACAGGTCACAACCTAAAATGGGACCGCTTTGACATTAATTTGGCTGATGACAGTCAGATATCCATTGCAACAACAGTTGACACTGTTAATTAGGAATTTAAAACCTACCCTTAATGAAAAAGGAAAAGCTTATCTCCTTTTGATAATAGCTTGAGTTTGTACCGTAAATGACCTAATCAATGCAATTATTGAATGAGGCTGACTAGGATGTGAAGAATTATGCCGATCGCGGCGTCTATTTTGTAATTTTAGGGATCTAACGATTGAATGATTTCGCTCCTGGCTAATTCCTAGTATTTTGGAATAAAAATTTAAAAAAAAGGCATATCCGAAGCTCATTACTGACTGTAAAGAGTCTAATCCTGAGTTAGCGCGACGAAATGATACCTTCGCATTCCCCATGCTGGATGTTGTTAAACGTGCCTATGTTTCTAGGAAAAACAGCATTACTTGGGGAGTGAAATGTGAAGAACTAGGAAAATCGTAGGAAATATGTTAGATACGTTTTGAAAATTGTACGCGAATGTAACGGTCATCTAGAAATTTGTAGCCGTCCTCAAGTAATATAAAATTCTAGGCAATATTTGCTATTCCGAACAGATATTTTACAGAATTGGAAAAACAGTCGTCGGGTGCACCTGTTTTCATCACTGCAGCCCAAACGAGGCAGTTTCCCACAATGCATGCGATGACGTTGACTGTTTTTAAGACCGCGTGAGCTGACTCAGACACGATTGACTAATGTTAGTACGAATAACAGATCGAAAAGCGAGTCAGTAAAACCTAATTCGATACATACTGCTGAAATGCTGTTCGCATTATTCGCACGACAGCGCGAGAAAAGAGCGAAAGTGGCATTTGCTTGACTCTAAATGCACGACGTACCACTAGTACAATCAATAACGTTAAAGGGCTTAAATTGAAACTAACATACATGACGTCTGAAGTTAATACAAAATAGAAACTCTTTTAAAGTTACCTGAGAGACAAAGAAATAGGTCATGTAGGGTCTACAATGATACCAAATATTTAGGCCTGTTTCATGCGACAAACTTCTTATCGTCGAATTTAATGCTAATAAGGTGAAACAGTGACGTTTGGCGTCAAATGCTAGAAAGAAACTGCAATTGAACTTCAGCAGGTGTCAATACACTTAGCTGCAACAACGTTGTCATAGAGATATGATAAAAGGTAGAGTTGAGAAAAGGCTAGTGAGGAATAAATTAGGCACGTTCACCATTATCCTGAGATCTGAGTAGTACAGGGAACGCCGGTTAGCTCGTTTTTTAAGTGAAACCTTTTGTCTTTTATATGGATGAAATGCGGGGTAATCTCATGAACATTAAGTCACGTCCTATTTGCAGGTGGTTTGACGGTCTGACAGGTTTTTTAAATCGACGATGTCATAATTCCTTTAAAGTTGTGTGCGCCATGTCCTTATCTGGTCATGATAATGTCATAGATTATTGTAACTTAGAACAAACAACACTGAATCTTTATGTTTTTCTCATAGCCAATGAAATGATAGACATTATACAAGATTATACTTAGAGATTCGCATCTTATCATCCGGAAATTTTACATTTCACTTGAACATCTTGGACAAAAAGCCTTTCATCCTCTTTTTAGTCTAAGACGCCACATTGATTTAAGTAAATTGAAACCTTCCCTTGCAAGTAAAATTTTTGACACAATGGGCATGATCACACCGATTTAACCTTACAATAGTGAAGTTTGGGGTGCCTTGGTGAAATCAGATTTTAAGTCATGCGGCCCTTTTTTGAAAAAAAAAATCAAAGACTTTTCAAGGACTTTCAAGGACTGACATTTCCCATTTTTTAAGGTCTCAATTCAGTACAAAAAGAGCCTTGAGTCTATGTCTTTTTTAGTTCTTCCACAACATGAGTTATTTTAGCCCGAAGGCCTTTCTGTGTTTGCTCCTTTCTCTTGGTAGTTTTACTTAAACTATAAAGTTAGCATTAACATTCAAGGACTTTCAAGGTGCGTGCGATCCCTGGTCATGGGATAGCTCCGGAATCGAAAAAACTCATTTACACTTTTATAAACGATATTTAGGAGTCCATAACAAGTCATCCAATGTTGCATACAGATCTGAATTTGGATGATTTCCTTTGATCATTGATCTAAATAAAAAGATACTTAATTACTTAAACTATCTCCAAAAAAAAGATAAAAATTCTATAGCGAGAGTTGCATTCTATAAAAATATCTGTTGACCTCCATCATAATGGTCAAAATAGTTTTTACTCCAGTCTCAAAAAGATGACCGACTACCATAATTTACCAGGCTTTAACTGTCATTTACTGAATGAATGTAAAATTAAGCAGTATGTAGAAAAAGAAATATGTGTCTTAATGGAATCATACCCTTCAACATTCACAAAAACTTTTAAATTTTGTTACAAAACCCCCCCCCCCCCCCCCTGCCTACATAGATCTAACAAGAAAGAACCCTCAGGAAAACCTTAGTGAAACTGAGAATAAGCAGTCACAAACTTAGGATCAAGACAGGTAGATACGACCATATAGCACCTGATGAAAGGTTATACAGTCTCTGCAATTGTAACAGAATTGAAGATGAAACTCACTTTTTATTAGATTGTTTAAGTTTTTCTTCGATATAAGACAGATGTTCTTCTCTAAACTAGAACCTAAAATACGTTTTCTACGACTACAAACACATGAGACCTTATTATCACATCTAATGAATTCTACTGACTATTTTATTAGCATCGGTCCATTTAATTTCATTTATATCATCTTGCTTTGAATTGAGAGACAAACTTGTCTACGGAATAATTAATCCTACCGATGGTTGAAAATAAGCAATGATTAATATATCTAAAGTTATTTTAAAAATTTAATTTAAAAAGGAATTCAATAATTAAATTCAAGTAGCTTTTGCGATAAAACTGTAATACTTTGTCATAGTCATGCAAATAAAGCTTATTGTTGTTGTTGTCGTGCGATGAGAAAGGGGGCGGGGGGAAGGGCGGTCTCAAAAAAATTTTTTGGTCTAAAATTAACGGGAAGGCCCGGGCCCCTCGGTACCCTCCCCTTAGATCCGCCACTGCTGTTTGTAGTTCAGCGCACTCAATGCTAATTGACGGATGAAAACAACATGCTGGCATTAAATTAAGGGCTATTCCCCGTTGGCTTCTTCGATGCGAGGGAGGCATTCGACTGGCTGCTGACAAAATGACATCAAAACTGGTTGCCCGTTTCCGCGTGACAGGAAAGCCTGGTCTGTTCTACAAAACGTCGGTCCAGGTTGAAAGGGCTGAGTTCCTGTAATTTCTGCTTCTGGCACGGTGTTCTCAGGATTTCTTAGATGTAGTATCTCGAGAAATGCGTGTCGTAGTTTCTTCATACGCCAACAGTAAATGATAGGATTACACAGGGAACCTAACATCATTGGAATTCCCACCCAGCTAAAAGTAATGGCTATAAAACGCGGCTCTACTAAAATGCTATCTGAAGAAGCAGTCACTAACGAAATTATTATTGCTGGTAAATAAGTTATTACTAAAGTAATTAGAACGATTGCTAGAGTGATAGCTGCCCTTCTGTCTTTCTTGATTCTTTGGACTTGCTCTTG